CACCAGTGAAGATTGATGTTTTCACTAGCGTCAAGTTAAGAGGGCCGCCAGCGAAAATACCATATCTTCGCTGGTAGCCAGCTTAAGGCGACCGCTAACGAAGATAGGTTTTTGCTAGCGACCCATGACCCCCCACCCTCCCTATTTTTCTTGATGGCGGTTTTATCTCGTAGCCGCCAGCAAAAATTTTTCCCAAACGCCATGAAAAATTGTTTTTCTAGTAGTGATTGTTTTATTTTTCCAATAATACCCATACATATACTAGCATACAAGTGATATATGTACTATCTAGGGAAAATATGTGGTAGAAACCACATGTGTGGTGGAAACTTTGAAACTGCCGTTGGATCGAAAAAAGGACGTCTAAGATTCGTCCATGTCATTGCACGTCCTTTTTTCGATCCAGCGGCAGTTTTAAAGTTTCCACCACATACTCCCTCCGTCCCAAAAAACCCAGCCTAGTATTGGATGGGATGTTTTCTAGTACATTAAATCTAGACAACCCAACCTAGTATTGGATGTGTGATGTTTTCTAGTATAATAAATCTGGACATAGAAAACGTCCCATCCAATACTAGATTGGTTTTTTTTGGACGGAGGGAGTACGCGGTTTCTACCACATATTTTCCCTACTATCCATACCGAAGATACAGATTTTATTGTATAGAATGGATCTGAACCGTTGCATCACTAGTATGATCCACTAGTGTACGGTAGTATGGTGCACCATAAAGGAACTCCATACTAAAGCATGCATAGTCACTTGCAAAAAGTGCCCAGTCATCGAACAGCCCACTAGCTTAAGCTTGCTAGCTGCCATTTTCATTGTGACAATGTGACATGCATATGTTATATAACACAATTAAGCAAATATTTCCATTGTGACATGCATAGATAGCTCTTGACAGGAAAAGTACAGTGATATGGGAAAGTTGCTGCTTGCCATTTTCGACGCTGCAAATAGGTTTGTGAGATATCAGGAGTATTTGACCCTACAGAAGGCCATGAGCCTATATTCATCAAATGCTCTTGGGCAACACCAACAGAAAAGGAAGTTCAACGCATGATGGTTAATGAGCAAATGATGGTCATTGCCGCTCGTAATCCTCACAAATGCGTGCATGCCGTCTGCAAGTGCTTCTAATTTAAGGCCTGGTGCACGATCTACCTTCTGGCTAGGAAAATTTCTCTGGCTAGTGGAAACAGCTTCACAATGGCGGAGATCAGATTTGGCATGCCCCGCAGCTGTTTGACGCCATGAATCTCAGAGTGACAGAGTTTGTACTACTAGCAGCAGGCAAACTTCTTACCATGTACCTTTCTCATCAATTAGCTGCTCTAATTTGTTTCAAGGTGAGGGAAATTCATTGTTATAAGTTAGTTAGCAGAGTTCATGTCCTTCTGTTTCAGAAAAAGAAAAGATACCAGAAGATGCTTTTCTTGTAAATATTTTAATATGAATGCAACCAAAATCAGTAAGCCTTAAATCGTAATCTACTTGAATATATAATTTCTCTTCAACAAATTTTGTAAGGTGTACCAACACACTACTACAGAATTACTAAAAACTTAACACCCATTCAGTGCAAGTTTGGGGGAAAAAACAGCACTTATCACGCCCAACAGGCCCCACTTGCACCTTGGAAAAAACCGACATTGGAAGCAGATCCTCTGACTTAACTGCACATGCAGTTGAGTCCACATATCAGTGACTCAACTGCATGTGCAGTTAAGTCAGAGGATCCTTTCCACCGACAATAGTAACACCACTTCAGTGTTGGTTGTTTAATTGAACCGACACTGATGTACTCGGTGCAGGTTTTTTAATTAAACCAACACTTAGGAAACTTATTACAGTGCCAGTTTTTTTAATTAACATGCAATAAAAAGAGAGCCGAGCACATTCGAACCACGCGGATGTAGCCTGAGGGAGGGATGCAAGAAATAAAGTCCACAGCCTCTGTCTCAAAGTCTACTCCCCCTGCCTCTCTCAGTTCTCTCTCGCTCTCTCTGGCTGCCTCGATCTCTCTCTCCCTAGCATCTCACTTTTAACTCAAAGGAGTATGGTCGCTGTAGTCTGCCACTGCCATCGTCATTGCTGCAGCAGTCAACGCCACTCCCAAGGCCCACGGCGATGGATCTGCCCCTCCTTGGGCCGGGGGTGGCGGATCCACCGCTCCCTCACGTGTCTTGCTGCTATTGTCATCGTCGCCCTAGCTGTCATCGCTACTATCGTTGTCGTTGTCATCGTCGTCGATAGATCCACCCATCCAGTAGTCTGCTATGGCACCGGATCCGGACGTCGCGAGGTCCTCGGTGGTCAATATGCCCATCCTATAATTGTGGGCAGTGGGTTCACCTGTCCCATAATCACCAGCGATGGATCCGGATGCCACGAGGTTGCTTGTCGTGCATATCCTCCCACCCCGCGGTCTCCAGTAGGGGATTCGCCCGTCTCACGGTCGCTAACTAGGATCCATCCATCCAACAATTAATCGCCAGCGAATGAATCCCGGGTGATGCCGCGCTCCCGTGCCCGTGCCACAGCAGCCGCCACCACCGCCGCCGCTTTCGCCGGTCCACGAAGTGAAGGACGGGAGATAGAGAGGGAAGAGGAGAGGAGAGGATGAGGTAGGAAAAGAGATGAGGGGAGAGGATAATTTTAGTAGATTTTTTAAGGGTGAGGGCAGTGGCGTGGCCGGCAAGTGGACCGGTGGTAAGTGGGCCTGTTAACAGACCACATCACATTATATTTACAAAATTCATCACATGGATTTGAAGTGATTTAGGATTTCTATACAATTCGATGCTGCTGTCCACCATGGATGAGTCTGCCCACCTATTGTCATCTAGATAATCACTAGCGGTAAGATCAGCAAGAGAGAGGAGGAGGAGGAGGGTGAGGGAGTGGGGGAGTAGGGAGAGGACGACGGGGGACATTGACAATTGGTGTCTGCCGCGGCGCCGAGGACGAGGAGACTGCCTGGGCCTGCGATGGAGAAGAGGACGAGGTACCTCAAGATCTGGTGGAGTGAGTGACGAGGGGGCTACTATCGTCATCGTCACCAAAGCTGGCAGTGGGAGGAGAGTGCCTTACCTTCTCCTCCTTGTTGGACAGTGGCATGCCGGAGGCCGTCCTCCTTGTGAATATGGTCCCGTGGGGTAAAAAGTACTCCTGTTGCTCCCACCCTGCGCTGACTCGGCTCGGCTCGATTTTTTTGGGCCACTTTTTATAATGAGAATAATTTATAACTGCATTATTTGTTAACAGGCACACGGCCAATGTCATACCCATGTATGTTAGTTGACGCTGCCACGCTAACTTCAGTACTTAACAGAGCTAAGCTCATGCTGGCTACCAGAAATTCAACTAGCCTCGACAGCTCAAAACCGTAAGGAATAAATTCACGTCAGGAAAATTCCGTCTGCATACATGGTACAGTCAGGAAAATACTGTAAAGTCCAGCTTGTCAGGAAATTTCAAATTTGCTGACTTGTCCTCGTCAGGGAAATTAATCTTGATGTGGATAGCCATCACAATTAGATGCAACATCAGAAAAATTTGAATATCGCCAACGTTGATTAAACCATCAGACCTGGCATTGTTTTGTTCTGACAACTAAACCACGTCAGAAATATACATTATTTTTTGCTGACGGTTACCGCCTGTCAGTGATAAAGTAGCGCTACACCCAATTCAGTAGCCATACCCACCAATGCAAGACTACAATGGCCATGCATGATAACTAATTCACAGGAGTTGTCCATACTAAGCATTAGATAACGTCCATGCATGATGGCTATATGCATACAAAGAGTAGTGAAGAGCGTCCACATAAACGAAGTAGTAGGTTTATTATATTTAACTTGACCATGAAGATTAGCATGACATCTTGATAAGATGATAAATATCAATATGGTAAACTTGGTAACTCTATATAGCAGGATGCATTTTTCTTTGTCACAACACGAGGCCATGATGTGATAAGCACCATCATGAGGATAGATGGGTTACATCGGCTCCTGGAGAAGGGATGTAGACTTATGTTGGGGAGAGAGACATTAAAGGAAGGGATAATAGACTAATAAATATTCATTGCTTAATGATAATAAAAACAATCATATCCTTATGTAGATACAAGAAAGATTTCTCGTAGAGACATTTCTCTATTACAATAAATACACTTTTTAAATGTCTCTACAATACTCTAGAGGCATTTTAAAAAAATGCCTCATAAATGCCTTCTAGTGAATTGCCTCTACAAATTAAGAGGCATTTTACAAAATGTCTCGACACCTTCTGGCATTTTCGACATCTTTTTATGTCTATAAGAGAGTATAGGCATTTTCTAAAGGCATTAAAATTTGCCACAACCGTATCGAACCATTATAAAAAGGAAAAATTACCACTTTCATTGCAATTGCCAATCCTTGAACTCTATACCTCTTGAATAAATCATTTTAATCCTGAATGGTCTAACCATCTTAATCCAATGTCATTACTTATACTTATGTGCCCCATATTACTTTTATCTAAAATTCCTATTAGTGCCTCTATATAGATTGAAATGTCTCAAGAAAATGCCTTTACATATCTGGCAAACTTTAAAGTGCCGAAAAAGTAACTCTACAAGATATATTTAACAAATTGCCTTATTAGTGTCTCTAGATTAAAAGTGTTTTAGGCAATATTTAAAGTGCCTCTAAAAAGTGTCTCTACACTTTATAACTTCTGACTTTAAAGGCATTTTAAAAATTGCCTCTACAAAAGTGTCTCTACATGAGGTTGTAGAGGTTTTTTTTATAGTAGTATAAGTTGACCCGTAAGCTAGCGATTAAGGACTCAAGCTGATCTTATATCTAACTTGCATGGTACGAACTGCCTATATATAGGGTCTCCACCTTATAGCCCAATGTCCATAACACTACTAATGAGCATCCTTAATATTTCTAGTTGTGTCTATACTATAACTAGGGGGGACGCGCGCCGGTGGCGCACTGCCGGGAGCAAGACAGGATAGAATAGTATGGGCTTTGTGTGACTTGACACGTGTAGAAAACAGAGCTATGGGCTTTTTAGACTTTTGCTTTGCTGCAGTCTATCTTTATGAACGCTTTCACAGGGCGAGCTGCTTACAGCTTTGCTTTGTTAGGTTAGATAAGCTGTGACGCAAAGCGGCGACCAAGGTTTGCTCTCTTCATTTGTGCAGATGTGGAGGGCTTTTGTTCTTGTGGGTGTTGATGCGCTTGCGGTGAGCACGGAGGACGCGGTGGGAGGAGCGGCGAGCGGGAGAAGGAAAGGGGATAAGGCAGGTTAGCACAGTGCGTGGGGATTGCTATGTCCTGTGCCGTCGCCGAGCCCAATGTTTTTTTTATGTGTCTAAAATTGTGTATGGTGTTTGATTAACTTGTTTTGGGTTAGGCTCAATAGCAACGAATCGTGTGTTTTCAGTGGAGAAAAGCAAATTTATAACAAGTGGTTTTTATTTGTCTCTAAAGCCTGGGCGATTCGTGGGTTGGTTACAGTAGAAACCTAGCATTAAGTGATACAGAAGGTTGGACTTTAGGATGTCATTTAGTATTTTTAGGAAAAGGTGTGCATTTTTTTTGGTTGACAAAAACAAGTCTAGATCTATAAGATTTTGTCTCGGAAATATTGGTTGGAATAATAGGCTGCTCATTTGTATACAGATTGCATACAACCCTGTATAGTTTATAGTTTACATCTTCTTTACCCTGCTAGAAATGTGAAAATTTATATTAGAGAACAATGCCTATTAATATTTAGCAAGATGGAGATGTATTTTTTAAGGCTGCGTTTAACAGTGGCCTTTTCAATGATGCATAGCCAAGGTTTAATCGACTATAAGTATTATTTTTTAATATGATTGGTTATTAATTTGTTGATGAGCTGCTTGTTTCGAATGCACTATGCATTGACATGTTGCATATTTGTCTGAGCAGCATTATCAATAGGATGGAAAACGCTTTAGTTGTTGGAGCTGACATGGAGTGGTGCGATGAGTATGGCACGGGTAGTGAAGAATGGACAACAAAGGTTGAAATCAAGATTAAGAATGTTCCTGAGCATGCTAACCACCCAGAAATAATGGAGAGGCTAGTATCATTCTTTTGCGATGCACAGACGTACAGGTTTGATGCAGTCAACAAAGATTACTACATCTGTGGATTTGCACAGAGCATTTAATCTATTCCAAAGTCTAAGCATCTGAAACTAAAGTATGGGACATCAAATGGAGTGCGAATTAAGTCCTTTTTGTTGAACTTAGAGGCTTCACTGTATGCTGGACCAGAATCGAACGCTATCACTGAAGGTAATATAAAAATGGGGGTAAAAATGCATTGTATAAGCAAATTAACTGTGTGCATATCTATCTATGCTGTTAAATCTAATTTGTCACAATTACAGCTGAAGATTCTGAAATCTATGAAGACCCTGAAATCTATGAAGATCCAGATGTTGTGAGGGAATTTTTTGAGACACATGTTAGGCTGGAATGTATTGCAGGTATCACTGTGCCTAGTAACCCATAAAGTAGTCTACAAATTAAGCGTGGAAGCTAAAATTTACATTTGTTTTATCACATGATGTATAAGATGGCGAGGAAAGCAGCAGTTCAGCTGATGGCTCTTTAGGCATGAGTGTTGATTCTGATTGGAGCCTGAAGTACAGCGGTCGTTGAAGAGAAGAAGAACAATGTCAGGAAGAAATATTCAGCATGAAAGATGTTAAGCAGTTGTTGCATCACTTAATTATATATGTGTTATATTAGCATGCATTGCTGGAGACTTGTAAAATTGACTGGTGGGCCAGCCTTTGTTATATTATTGTAATATATGCAGGAACCATAAGGGAGATATTAATATTAGATTTCTAGCTGCATTTGTTTTTTTTTGTAGCCTTGTGTATGTTCATGTGAAACTGGAAACTGTTGGTATGTTCAGGGAGAGGAAGTGTATATTATGCTGTGTGATAGCACGCTATACATATAGCAGAGTATTCTTTCATGCGGGTTATTTTATTTGTGTGGCTGAATAATAGCAGTGAAATGGTGTTGGCAGAAATCGGAACAGGGCACCATGTGGTGTGTGGACCGTGCTAAATGTACACATCGGCAAGGAGGAAAGATCCTTGGCAGTTTTAGTAGGGAACGCGAAAAAGTGTTGTTCTACGGCAATTGAACAGGTGCTATAAACAAGTGGAGTTCCTTACGCACATTGCAGGCAGTGCCATATTGTTGCTAGAGTAGCTTACAATATAGAACACCAACAGGCATAAACATAGGCAACAGGTCTTACAATAATAACCAGGGCCGAAAGCCATGAACAAAAGAGTCTGATTTTAAGCCCTAACTAAGCTAGGGACTTCCTTCTGCTATTTGGCTGGGCTAATATCTTACATCTATATAGAAAAGCAAAAGACCTGGTGATGAGCTGCATGTAGAAGGGGCGTCCAGTCTGTACAAGAGAGAAGGGTTAAGAGGTGAGCAAATTTTTTGTAGTTCCTGAATTCTTTATGCAGCCACAGAGGCTCTATGTAATGAGCACAAACCTGATATCCTGCTATTATTCAGCAGTGTCCTTGAAGAGTTTCTTAGAAGCTGGAGCTACGACTGTAGGTTTGGATCTACTAACATGCAAAGATGTGTAAGTGACAATGGAAACGACAGGGAAACGGTTAATGTGCCCAAGATGTATTTAAGCACCTTTTCTTTGCTATTGCGCTTGCAAGCGATGATGGGCTAGTCTGTGGGATGTTCTCTTCATGTTTGGCTGGCTGTTTTTCCTTGTAAAATGAGCATTATTTTAGCACAGAAAAATAAGGTAAAAGGAAAGCAGCTAAAAGGAAAGGAAAGGAGGATCACCTTATGTTCAGCAGAGTGAGCCACAAGAGGTGTAGAAGAAGCATGCTGTGAGGTGTCCTCTTCAACCTTTGCATCAGCCTGTTGCGTACAGAGACATGTGGAAGGTGAGGTTTAGATAGTGTAGCAGAAGGAAGCTATGTCAGTGTTCTTACCTTAGTATCAGTGGGAAGGCTAGGGCTGGCAGATTGCACATGGCACATCGAAACAACTATGTTTTTCTTGCTTGGTGTTGAATGGCATGGTTTGCTAGTTGGCGTGTCATGTGTTGTGGAACCGATAGCTAGCTTTGTTGGGGTCGAAGCATTGTGGCCTGGCTCAATAGCTTGGTGTGATCCAGTGCTTGTTTCACTTACTGGTGGTGCTATTTGAACTGAGCTACTTGAGCCTGCTGATACAATAGCTGATGTTGCCTGTGAAGTATCTGGGGGCATGAGCAGCAGGCTGTGACCTGAGGAGGCAGTGGACACAATGCTGTTGACCTGAAGTGATTCCTGACTTCGTTTCACAGTATTACGCGTGAAGCTGACATTCCATACAAACTTGCCATCAATAAGTGCTGCGATTTCACTTGGAATGTATTCACTGTTTGGTGGATTGTCTTCAATCAGAGATTCGACCGGCCTTCTGATAAGACGATGTGCAATCCTCCCAAAAAGGATAAACGTGGCATCGCAGCTGTCATCGCCGGCAATTAGCACAACCTTATACCTACACGTGCAACACATATATATCTATGGTAAGGCTATAATCAGCAAACATGTGAAAACCTGGGCTGAGTCTTGCTACAAACCTTGGGTCTGGTATGCCTATGTTGGAACAGCCAGAGCATTTGTAGGTGGAACCGTATGGTCTGGAAGTTCTGTAGCACATGCGACATGAATTATACCACCATGAATTTTCAGTGCATATTTTTTTAACAGTGACAGTGACTATAAAACGTGTACTCTGCAAAAGCAGACAATGAAGATTAACATGCTATTAGTATAACTGGAAAAGTGCACAGGCAAAAGTTGGATAACAAAGTGGGAAGGTTGTACCCTGTTTTTATGAGGATTGAGAGCCAGTATCTCTAAAATTTTTTTCTCTTCTGCAATGTCTTGGTTGTAGCCTGTTGCTGGATTGTCAACCCAGGCAATTGCGCGAAAGTTTGCGCTAAAGCTATATAATAATGCTATGTTTTAGAATAATGGATGCCATGTTCGGGTATGAAAAAGCATCACAAATAGTGTGAAACAGACAGTATTACCTTTCTTTTAGCTCCAGCACTTCAGGAATATCTAGATTAAGATACCATTGGCATGGTGAGCTACCAGTCACTATCAGACCTATATGGTATTGCATAAATAGAAGCACACTTTTAGTTGTAGAAGATAGATAACAAAGCAATGGAAAGGTGAAGCGGAAAAATACCCAATCCTGGATAGTCTTTCACAAGCATTCCAACAAAGACAATAACTTGAGGTTGAGTTTGGCCAGCATTGTATATGGTGTCAGCATCGAAAATAGCTGCCTTGTCTCCCCACAATGTGACAGGAAGCGTAGAATTGCTAATTTTGTTTACAAACAGCAGAACCAAAATGGTGTGAGTCAATATTAGAGACATTGGTGTAATAGCGAGCATCTATGCAAGCGCTGTGCAAAAATCTATGAAATGTAATTCTAGTGAACTAACCTTGCATCGCATATCTGTATCGTCCTCTTTAAACTATCAGTATTTCTTGACTTAGGACGCACAATAGCTGGTGCACCGACCTCTGTGATGACACCCATGACGTCTACCTGAATAGAATAGGAAATGGATCAACAATATGATAGCGCATAGCATGCACATGATGAATGCAGTGGCATAGATGCTTGTTATTACCAACATAGAATAAGGTCTTGTCCACTAAGGGAGGAATATCTCCAAAGGATGTTAATGAAAATGTTACGCTAGGGAAATCAGCAGGGGGGTCAATGTATTCTTCAAGCGTCGGCCATTTAGTGAACAGGATAATCAGGTTGTTTTCAACTGGCCTATATGACCTGTTCGCGTATCTCACAGTGAATGAGTCAATGTAGTAAACCTTCTGTTCCTGGAGAAGAGGCTTCAGTACTCCAATCACAGGGTGGTAAATCTGGGCATGAATGCTTTTTCCCTGCATATTTTGAGAAGCAATAATGTCATGGACAAAATGACAGACATGCAAAGGAAAGCACCCAAGAAAGATTGTTATAGTTGAATCATTACCATCTGGTCAAGTAGGACCACATTGGTATGGAAAATATTGCTGCTGTCATTGAGATCAGAGAAATCCCATAACCTAGAAACTCTTGCAAGGATCCTTGTGTTTAAATCCCCACATGCAAGCTGCGAAATAAGCACATGCACCATCTTTGATCTGCAATAAGCACAGAATTATTTTAGCATAGGTAAAACAATTACATAAAGTATAACAGAAATAGCAACGTACAGAATAGTACACATGATTGTAAGCGATATATTCTGTAGTATACACATAATTTATACTATTCGGGATAGAAGGCCATTTATTCCAAAACATATGTACAAATCTGTGTGCTGGTGAGGGCAAAAATGCTAGGCATGGAGCGGCGAAGCCTGCACCAGGAAGACATGCACATTACTTTGTTGTTAATTTAGCAGGTTAACAGAAGCTTATATATGAAATGATGCACAGAAAAGCACCGCTGCCTGTGTAGCACTGAGCACTTCAGTGTAGACAATATTTTTTGTTTCCTTGCCACATGATCCATCACTATTTTCAATTAGTATCTTTAAACCTGCACGGCTTGTTGCTCTTGAAATAGCAACGTACAACTGCCCATGTGTGAAAACAGGCCTCCTAAGATATACGCCAACTCGCTGGAGTGTTTGGCCCTGGCTTTTATTGATAGTCATTGAATAACAAACTCGAACAGGGAATTGTCTTCTTTGCAGTGTAAAAGGCCATTTCATCTTTGTTGTGCTTAATGTTATTCGAGGTATATAAGCAATCTCGCCAATGTTTGATCCAGTTAGTATGGTGCACTGTAGGATTCTATCTCCTAAACCTGTGACTAATAGCCTTGTTCCATTACATAATCCAATTGATTGGTTAAGATTTCGCAGCAGCATGACCACAGCACCTTCTTTAAGAATGAGCTTATGTGTAGGGAAGTTAGTGGCATTTATTGAGTTAAGGAACTCAGGTGGATATAGCAAGTCAAAATCTGGGATTAACTCAGAGCATTTTGATATGGTATCACAGCTGAGGTATATCCTTGGATCTCCTGGGATTAAACCAATAACATAGTCATTGATCTCATCAACTGTTATATTATTAGGACAAACAATCGCACGGCTGGCTAAGTATTCAATATCCTTGTAAGAATGAAGAAAATCAGGATACACCTCATTGACAATAGCTGATATCTTGTCACCATTAGTCATAACAAGCAAATCATCGGGAATTGTGATCCATGTTGGACAGCTCTCATTTTCCCTTGCTATCATAGGCAAAGAACCATTGCCAACAGCTAAAACCCATTGACTAAAATCATATATGTCCTTCCTTTCACTCTCTGGTAGGATTGGATTAAGTAACCTCATGTTTATGTTCAGAGTTAATATTGTTACATGTTTCCATAATTCTGAGTTTGTGATAGATGCATTCACTATGCTCTAACGAGATCCCTTAGGAATAACTGGCAATATTTGCCTGAAATCACCACCTAGGACAACAGGTTTTCCTCCAAAAGGTATAATAGAATTTGCAGGATATGTTTCTAAAAGAATATCTCATAGAGTGCGATCTAGTGCTTCAAAGCATCGTCTGTGCGTCATCGGAGCTTCATCCCATATGATTAGTGAAGCCTCAGTTAAAAGCTCAGCAAGCATAGTTCCTCTTTTTATATTATAGATACTTGTTTCATCAATGTCGATGGGTATTTTAAATCGAGAATGAGCTGTTCGGCCTCTAGGCAATAGCAGAGACGCTACCCCTGATGACGCAACAGCAAGAACAATTTTGTTTTGCGATCTAAGTTTTGCGATGATTGCATTCCACAGGAATGTTTTGCCTGTCCCACCATGACCAGACACAAAGAAAAATCCAGGCCTATTAGCAGCAACACGAGAAGATATAATGTTAAAAATATTTGATTGGTCATCGTTCAATTGCTGCACTAAAGAATCTGCATGTACAGCCAGCATGAGTGGATCGATTGCGAGCTCTTCATCAATTAGCCTATTACTACCAGGAACATCTGGAATAGATGTTGGATGTGGCAGGTTAAAATCCTTTATATTACCACCGCTATTCGCAAATACAGCAACAAGCTTATGCAAAAGTAAATTAAGCAAGTGATCCTGTGGAATGACGAAACGTGGGTTATCCAGAGCTTTTTTTAGCCTATTTTTTATATCATCTGTCATGTATATCCAGTACTTATCAAATAATGAGTGGACATCACTAACAGAACAGTAAAGGAGTATGGTCACAAAAAGTTGTCTAAGCTGTGCTGAGGATGCAGACAGTATTGCTTCATCAAAAAGAAGGAACCATTCATTATCTCCCTCAAGAAGCCCTTGTGCCTCGCATGCTTCCCTAAATGTGCTATAAACAACGTTATTGTATGTGCGCATGTCAGCATAGCTCTGAGCACCCCTAACAATCATCAATAGCATTCTAAGGTAATAAAGCTCACCAGCAGTTGGATGCACATAATAAATTCTACCAATCTTTGGAGCAGGCGTTCGCTCATGCCATGTTTGAGAGGATGGTTCCCATGTCCATTCTTTTGGAAACTCGCAATATGTTAGTGAACGGGCCTTCTCGCATTTTTTGTTAGTTTCAAACCATTCGGTAAGCATTGATCGTTTTGCGACGTTTTTCAAACCATTCAACGTTTATGTGTGCCTCATATGTTTTAAGCAGTTTCATATTGTACGGTACAACCGATCTATTATCCAAAGGGATCCCATTTTTAATGATAGTTCTTCCATCATTTCTTCGCCTGTAGATTGTAAATCCACTCTCATCGATAATAGTTTCGTCCTGAAAATTCTTAGGATAATTTTTTGAGCACTTATTGTTTTTCATGCAGGGGCATTTTTTGTTGGCATCACCACATGGACCATGCATCATAAACTCACTAACCAACTCATAGTCAGGTATTTTGGCACAAATAAAGCCATCTATGATTGATGCCGAGACATCAGCAGTGGCAGCAGCAAGCCAAACTAAGCAATGTATGTGTGGGAGGCCACGTTTCTGAAACTCAACGGTGTACAGGACTGTAATAATTAAAAAAAAGGACACTATCAGCATGGAACCTATGATAAACATATGCTAGAAACAAAGGAATTATATGAGCACCTGCAATAACTTTTCCAAAAGTCCTGCCTTCCCTAATATCTGTTATGAATTCATTGACCTTCATATTAAACACACGCACTATCATATCAGCTCTATCAGATGGTTGTTGGCCAGGCTCAAATCGAATTGCTTCAGCAATTTCCTGCCATTTGGAGTTGCATGTATATGTCACAAAGAGATCAGGTGATCCATACACACGACATATTGCCATGGCATCCTGATAATTCATGACCATATATCTTCTCCCTCCAGTAAAGCTAGCAGGAAGTATAACGCGCTTGCCAACTGAATCACCATCAGTGACACCTTTATCAATCGCATCCACTATTCCATCCACAGACTCGGTT